TAATTTAAATGAAAAACCCAAACATATCACAACTTCCCATAGCATTTTATTTCCTTTCCTAGCACTTTCAAGGATCCAAACATAGCCTGAAAGAATTGTTCATATAAATTCTCAAACTAATTTAACATGTTTTTTTTAAAAAAACATTTTGGTTCTTAAATCTTACTTACGACTCCATATAACACAAGAACTATGTATCAACAGAAACCACTCTAAAAGTGTTACTGGAGAAACACTTAACAGTACCTTTGGGAGCTCTGAGAAGGTGCCCAGAGGAAGCAGATGACACACAGCAGTGCAAATGCAAGAATGTCCCAGAAGGCAGTGATAATCCACGCACTCTGCCACTTCTCGTTGAACGGATCAGTTGCTTTGAAGTAAACCTTCAATGAAGAAACCTTAACCATCAATACTCTGCAATTGTACTTTTTAAGGGCTCAGACATCCCAAACCCACTCTAAGTTTTCAATTCTCTGGTTTCTCTCCCAAACTTAAGTTTGAAAAAATAGAAAATTGAAACTGACGTGTATAGAGTATCTAAGAATTGAAGGACTTCAAATTAACAAACAAAACTTTCATCATTTCTGATGAAATTTCAAAATTCGTGCAGATAAGTGGCTCAGAAGTTCCAGTACATAAAGTGAAATTTCCTTGTGAAGTTTGAAAAGCACAAGATAATAAGATCACTTGGTTCTGTGACATTAAAATTAAACTATAAATGCAATAGATATTCCTCAACATGCAAGAGCACGGTGAACAATTCAAAAGATATATGCAATGCAGGCTCCATCTGTTTTCAGAGAAAAATAACTTGTAGTGGAAAATACTTTCAGCCTTGAAAACATATCCAAGCAAAATAAGAAGATTTACTTTAACTGTTCATTTAATGAAAATGTTATGCTCTAAAATAACCGTGACCTTAAAATATAAAAAGAACAGAATATCCATAAATGTTACATGCAATTCTCTTAGCATGTGGCCGGTGGGCATATACCTAAAACAACATTTCAGAGAGAAAGAGTGTGTATAATATAATGTTTGGCCCAAAAAGAACTCCTAGAAAACATAACTGTTTGAGGAAAATTACTACCCCATCAACGGGAAGGAATTTTCCACAAATCTTGAAAGAACCAAGCAAATAGTTTCTAGAATTAGCACATCAAAATTAGATAATATTTTAGAGGTTAGTAATTTTTCTAGAAACAGTCTTAAAGACATAGCAATAAAGAAGAGTTACTCATAATCAGTAAAAGTTCATAAATAGTGGCTGTGGTCGTGAAAAAGCACATACCTCATAGCCTATCCAAACTACTGAAGCAATGACAGTAACAGCTAATGCATTTGAGAATTGCCTATATAAATCTAACTTCACAGAGCTTCTCTTTGCCTGAAAAGGTGAAATCACGGTTTATGAGCAAACTATTACATCTAAATGTTACCAAAAAGGAGGAACTGATGAAAAATGTTGTACCTGTAGCTGCTCAAGTGTCTTAGAAAGAGAAGTAAAAACCCACAAGATCAAAAATGCATCCAAGAATGCATCAGGAAGAACCAAAATGAGTCTAGCTCTTCCTGCTACATCATTTATGGTCCCCACATATTCAGTAATATTCAGTACCTCAGATGCCAAGAAATATGTGATTCCAATTAGTAACACCTTGATTGTAAGACCACCAAGTGTGGGACGTACAACACCATAACCCATTGAGATGGAAAGAATAAGGATGCGCGAAATAGTTCTCCTTATTGCCTCAATGGTCACAACCCAATATGTGAGGCCCACAGGCCTTGATCCAGTGTTATTGAAGTGAGCATAGTCCAAATACCAAAATAGCATCTCAAATAACCCAAGAGCAATAACACTGGCAATGCAGTGTTGAAGTGGCAATACATCCTTCCAGTATCTCACATACTGAAAACACCAGATGGCACATAGGATAACATATGCTAAAGACATAACAGAATAGAATTTCATTAGGGGTGCCATTCTACCAGGTAAAAAGCCATCAGGATTTTTCCATACTGTTTTCCCGGTTACTTTCATTCCCTTGAGATTTGGATCACATGAGATGAAAAATAAGTTATACATCCCAGTCTTTTGTATATAAACCTCCCTGTTTTTCATGCGGGCACTTAACTGCTTTCCTTTAAAATGTACATTCAACACCACTGGCCAGTTAATATCTGTTGCTGAAGGTGTTCTAATCACTTCTCCTTGTTTGCAACCTTCCAGTTTAGCAAGATCAGGGGAACAACAAATAGACCTTTGCCCCCCATAGGGTGAACCGCCAATGTTATCACGGTCTGCTGCCTCAAAAATTATGATCTGTATCAGACCGCTATTGTATGAGATATTTTGCTCTGCGGTTTCTTTACTCCTCCAAAATGTGAGATTCTCAAATCTATGCATAGACATCAACAACAACCCAGTAAGATCTCACAAGCGAGGTCTAAGAAAGTTATTTCAAATATAGGACAGCTAACAAATTTGCTAGGAAACATCAAGAGTGACAGCATGCGTTCATTTACACTTACTAATAACACTGTAACTTGACAACCAACTCATGTGAGTATATTTTTTCATTTGATTCTAACTCACCGCCCACCAAAATAGACTTCCAAATCAGACTAGTCATAAGATCATTACAATAGTCTAAATCTATAACGGAAATGACCAAGAAACATAAAACCATGGGCTAGCGCTAGCTAAACGGCTAGTAAATAAATTTAATTTCCACCTTTGCAATAGAATGAACCTTCAATCCAAACTTGAAACTCAGGAATTAAGATGTGCTAAATCTGGACTAGGATTTATTAAGTAAATTTCTTAACGACATTAAATTTAGCCTATAGTTACAAAATCAACCTTCCATTTACAGTTATTCGGGCGGATCCAGGTGGCAGAATGGGGACAGCTGACATAGTTTCCCTTGGGTAGCCTGTTAGATAGATTAAATAGTCCAGAGATTCCCCAATTCAAAGTCTCGTTATGGCCCCAATAACCTAATGACATAGCCCATTGAAAAGCCCAATTAAAGTAAAGTCTCAACTCTCAATCCCTAATTTATGTCCATTCCCAGTAAACAGCTTGTGGAAAGTTAGAGACACCTAACACAAGGCACTAATGAAATCACAAATGTGCCAATGTATTAGATTTGATTGTTACAGAGATTTCTCCTCACCTACTCAATTGGAATTTCTACCCTGCGGTAGCATCCATCGGAGCTTTTTCCTTCATTGCTCAGATCAGCGCCGACAGATATAACACAATTTCAAGGTATATTAATATCCTACAAATCTAATTGACTGTCTTTTTCCCTTTTTGCAAGCATTTACAAATTTATTGATTACCTGATTAGGAAAAACAAATTTCAAGTACCCTGTGTGTTTTATGTGTAACTGTTCATACGAGTCATGGAAATTTTACCATTTTAACTCTTCTATTTGTTGTTTGTAGTAAAAATAAAAATGTTGGTTTAGGCGTGAATTTAATGGACACCGATTTTGCATAATCGAATGGGTGACATGTTTTTGGGTGATGGTATAATTTGTTTTTAGAGGATGACATATACTGTATCTTTATTTGACTCTATACAACTTAAAAGGCAACCAATCGCTTCTACAAGATGAAAAAATGTTGAGAATAGCTGTCAACTATATTGAACTTTATAAATGGCTACTGCACTGATAATTCTTCCCCCAATAAACATGTTTTTTTCTGGATCAGCCGGTGTTGTGCTTACTGTTCTTGCCTCTTCTAGATCACAAAACCTAAAACTCAAAGATGAGGTTATCTAAGTAAACAAATATACTCCAAATTTGATTTTGAATACTCTGTTCAGCTACCTGAACTTCGATTCACACATCCAACCTTGAGTTCAGTATAAACGGCGCACTATCACTTAGCTCAGCAATGTTCGAATGGAGGCATGCAGAAGAAAATGGGAAACTAGATCTAAGCATACACAGACTATTTGAACACGATCTGACCTGATGTAAAAGAGAGTTAGATGTATGTAACGTTCACCTGATGTAAGAGAGTCCGTCGCGGACAGCGGAGCGAAAAGCATGACGCGGCTTGGGCACGAAGAAGGTGGCGGCGAGGCCTTCGCTTCCGCCGCCGGCGAGGTAGGCATTGCCGACTTCTCTAAACGGATCTCGATCGTAGTTGTGTACGGAGGCTTCAGCTGATCCAACCGCATAGAAAATTGTGGCCAAGGCGGGGAGAACTGTGACGAGTAAACAATGTATCGAAGTTCGCGCCATGCTTGTCCTCAGGATGGCCGATTCCGGCGAGTAGATCGGCTATTTTTCAGGGTGGCGGTTGGGGATGGATGGAGGGCAAGAGGACTTTGAAGCCTCACTGTCACAACTGAAAATGTCAAATCTTTTCCTCAAATTTCTTTTTTGATTTTGTGATTTTTCCTTTTTCTTCTTTTTAAAATAGAAATTGATAATGAATCCTTAAAAAAAACATTAAACTTTGTTAATGAAAGGAAAACAATTACAATATTTCACAATGTATAATATTTCATATATACTTCGGTTTGAATATTTATTTTCGAATAACAGAATACTCCAAATCTATTTTCCCGCATAAATTATTTTTTAAAAAAACAACATTCAATTATTTAAGAATGAGTATTTTGTAGTTCGAATAACGAATACTCAATTACACGTAAATGACACCATACAACAGATTGTATGATATATATTGCAGAAATTTAGAGTTTCTTTTCTTAATGTATTCAAGGTTTAATTTTAATATTTTAAACAACTTAGGGGTTGTTTGTTTCAACCTCTTAATAGTTCAGATGTCTGAATGGTTCATCACTTAATGGTTCAGACTGTTTGTTTCAGCCTCTTAATGGTTCAGATGTCTGAATGGTTAAGAGATTTGCCTCTGAATGGTTAAGTATTATACAGAGTCTGAATGATTAAGACCTCTTATCTGAATTGATCAGACATTTGCTTCTGAATAGTTAAGCAATATACTAACTCTTAATGGTTCAAACCTCTTACTGATTCAGCACTTAATGTTCAGACCTCTAACTCGTTCAAACACTTTTCTATTCCAAAGAGCCCCTCACATTCAAAGCTAAGATTCTTCCCTTGTAGAACACCTCTTGATCAATTAATATACTGTATTTTTCTTCCTTTAACTACTCAAATTTTAATATTCCACATTCAAAGCTAAGATTTTTTTTTTTTTTAAATTTGACAGGAAGCAGTTCACACATCCGAGAGAGAAGCCATCGTCTTCAACAGCTCAAACGCAGTCTCCGTCACCGGCCAGTTTCATTTCCAGGTACTGTCATCGCCTTCTCCTCTGCAATTTTACTTGTGAATGAATCTTCTCCTTATTTTTTCGCGTATTGTGCCATTGATTTTTATTTGTAAAAAAAGGAAGAAGAAAAGAAATAATATAAATTTTTGCTTCATACATGCAACCTTACTTCCGATATTGTTGCATATTCTTCTGTCATCTCGAATAATTTTGTTTATCAATTTTAATGCAATGTTTTTTTTGGGCTGGAAAAACTAACTTTCAATTCTTTCCAGTTTCTTCTAACTTAAAAAGGTGTTTATATATGATGATTATGTAATAATATTATATATATCCAAATTCATAACATATCACCTCTAACACGGATAAAAATGAATTCTTTTTTTATATTCAAAATTATTTTTCTTACATATTTGTTTGTGCGATCATTTAATTGAGTGGCTTTTTAACACTTTAATTCTTTCACTATTTTTCAACTCCTTCCAGTTTTTTTCCAATTTCTTCCAATATTCAACTCTGAAATTTCAATTCAAAAAAAACATGGCCTAAATGAGTACCCAAACACTTTGTTGGTCAAAGTGTTGTTACACTTTGGCTACAAAATAGATGGGAGAGAAGGGGTGCAAAAGAGGGTAATGCTCTTATTGGCAGCTTTAATAATATTCCTAAAACTGTAGTTTTTTCTTAAGTTCCTTTTAGTTCAATCAGTGGATTAGAATAAGAGGATTCAAGTTTGTTAGAGTATAAAACCTTAAGTGAGCCAACAACCACGTACAATCGTGATATTGTGGTCGAGTCGGTTCATTAACAGAGTTGATGTAATCTTTTTCAGAAATGACTCATGCAACTTTTTTTTACCATTCTAAAAAAAAGTAGATAAATTAGTGCCTTACTGCATACATGGAAATCTAGGTACCGGTAAAACTGAAATAGTTTTTGCTAACATTTAAGTTCAATATTTTGATTTAATTGACAAAATAGCAAAAGATATCTCTATCAGTCATAAACATGCTGAATTGCAGCAAATTCTTGAATGTAGGAACTACGACTTTAACACGCCAAATCAATCTTCAGTTGCTAACTTGCTAAATAGAACATTGAAGTCATAAAAGTTAGGGAACATGATCGTAGGAACTACGACTTTATGGACTCGTGCTATTGATGAGCACGAGTCCATAGCTTTGTGGTTTTGTACTTTTATAAGAGGACAAAGACGTTTGGTTCTTTAAGGAACATTTGGAGGGTTGAGGGGAATAGCTCCAAAACCAATCTCATTATCTGCAATGAATTGCCACTTTTGGTATATCAGAGTGTCCTCTTCTTGTTCTTCATGATTAAATGCGTTTTTTTCATCCTCCGAGTCGCACCGAATCTTATGAAGTTGGCAACACAGAGTATTAGTTGACGAAGAGGGCTGTTTATGTATATTTGACCTTTTCTTTCTCGTAACGCTCTCAGCATTCCAAGCAGGTTCTTGAGGCACTCCTCTCACTAGGCTAACTGCAAACATTATGGTATATATACAGGGCAATAAACCATTGGTAAACTTTTTAAAATGCAATACATTAATGGTCCAAGAAAATAGACTCTGTTCCTAATTAAAACCATTTCTCGATTCAATTTGAGTAAAGATAATTCTGAAAACCAAGAAAATTGCGTAAGTTTTTATAGGCATTTTATGATTGAACTTTTGCAAACAATTTCCCTTTTGGTTTTTAGAGACTTTCCCTTGGTGAAATTATATTCCTACAATGTCCAGTTTCATTTTTCAGTCAAAGTTGACAAACTTTGATCAACAATTAAATAATAACTGCATTGCATATTAATATCAAAATGGTTCATTAGATATATCTTGCAAAATATTTTCAAAATATTATTTTATTGTACTAATATATCTGAGACAGAGTTCATCTAGCTTACCCTAAAAAATTTCATCCAATTTGACTTAAAAAAGTCAAATTGGACAAATATTTCAAAAATATTTTTCTGACTTTAACTTCATGTAGATAAAAAAACTCAACAAAATCTTTTGGGATGGAGGGAGTATTAAAGAGCATGAAACACTACCAGATATTATTCACTCTGTCTCAGTATATTTGTTCAATTTGACTTTTTTTAGTCAAGTGGATGAATATTCTTAGTTTAAGCTAGACGAACTTTGACAAATATACTGAGCCAGAGTGAGTAGTAGTAATTAGTTAAATTACCTTCTTCTCCTTGTGGCAGCATGGATTTCTCCGGAGATGGCACTGAAGATCCCGAGCTCGAAACGACACATTTTCCCCCCTCAGGAGAATTCAAAGACGGATCAGTTGCTTTAAGTTTCAGCTTCTGGCAATAGTCGGTTTTCCTTGCCGGATGCTTCTTCGCCTCATAAGGTAATGTGCTTTGATGCTTTCCATTGGCATAGTACCTAGAAAGGGCATGTTTTGGAACATAATCATTGAGGTTTCTCCTTAGCCTCCACCTTGATCCACAGGCATTGCATAGAACTGGCTTTTCCGGCGGCCCCATTCTCCAAAGTGGAGTATCTGTTTCATTGTTTTTGAGTCTAAGGGATTGATTCTGATTAACAACAATTAACTCATACAAAAGACCATTACAATTGGTTTTTTAATTTTGTTGGTTCTTTGCAAATTTATAGAAGACTCACAAAGGGTCTACTCTCAAGTAGGGTATACTAGAGCCTGCTCTCTTCGTCCGATCTCATTGGATCAGATCTGGTGTTATTGAGGTATGGACTGAACTTATCAAGTCTCTTCTGCTCTGATCTGATTATAGTTATCTTTAAAGCTATTTTTGATTTGATCTGGTCAGATATGGTATGGTCTGGTCGAATTTCAATAAGAATAAGTAATAAGAGTAAAGTTAAAGAGAACAAGCTCTAGATTTGTTTGATTTAGTTATATGAGAGTGAGGATAATAAATATAGGTTACCAGATATGAATTTCTATTTCAACGTTATAGTTATATAACGTCTTACGGAAAACATAGAACGTAACGGAGTTTTTTTATTAGACCCCATATTCGTCTCTCAACTCTCATATTCGTCTTTCAACTCTCATATTACGGAGTATTTGATTAGCTTCCCTTGATTGGCTTTAACTTGGAAATAAGACATGTTTCCTTAGTTTCATTGGGATTTCAAGTTTGACATTTCTGGTCAAACCTTTTAAACTTTGACTAGTGTTTTAATCGATATTTCTTAATAAAAGTTATAAATTTTATACTTTTATGAAACTATTTTGAATAAAGAACTTTTTTATATTTACTTTTGTGTTATAAACCATTTGTAATAAAAACATATATGTTGTCAAAGTTTAACTGTTGGACCCAAATGATGAAAGTCAGGAATCTGTTTGCCAGCATGCCTAGAGGGGTAAGGTATACAACTCAACAGGGTTATGAATGGCTTCTAGGCGAACATCCCAAACCAATATGGACAGACTGGGTTTGGAACAGGGAAACACTGCCAAAGTGCCAGTTTATAATGTGGCTAATTATGCGTGGGCGTATACAAACAAAAGTTAGACTGGCGAGAGTTATGGAGTTGGACACAACATGTTTCTTTTGCCAAAACGGGGAAGAGGACATCTCTCATCTCTTTTGCAGGNGATATTGTAGAGATGGCAATGGGCATAATAAAGAACAACCCCGGGAAGAGAAGGAAGGAAGTGCTAGCTGGTTGGGCCACGGCATGCTACTATATATGGAGGGCTAGGAATTGGAAAAGGCATGATAAAGAAGTTCAAATTCAGGAGATAGTTAGTACCATTAAATATCATTGTTCTGTGACATTTAGTAGATAAAAGGGTGGGTAGAGAAAGTGTTGGAAAATGATGTGGGAGTTTGTGTAATACTCGATGTGTTTGGTGATTATATATATAGCATTTTCGTTTCAAAAAAAAAAAAAACTAATTTCACTAGAAAAATCAAGATTGGAAAATCTCAATGGGACAAAGGAAGTATGTTGTAATAGGAATAATGCTCATTTATTAGTGCCAATTGGATTACAAGATACATTAATATGACGTTCAATAATTTTTATGTAAGCTTTGACGATTAGAGCCTTTTAGAGGGACGTGAATGAAATCTAGATTGAAATTGCAAGCCTGTGTCAACTTTAATGGGACAAATATAGTTTATTAATATTGATAGCTTTTAGGTTGAGTGCAAATTGCACTCCCACAATATTAAAGAAAAAAACAAATAACAAAAAAATCACTTTACACATGATGCAAAATATCTTTGTGAGTATTGCATTATTCTTTAGAAAAATTCAAATTGTAACTTTAGAGTTAATTATGTCATTATATAGAGCCTTTCTATTTCACAAAAAGTTGGGTTCGAATTAGAATTTACCCCCTATTTATATTTGTACATTTACATTTCCATACCCATAGACCTAGCTACATCATTGTCTCATGCCACCTATGGGGCATATGCCCTCGGCCTAACCGAGGGCACCTCCCGAGTAGAGATCCTGAGCAGGCTCATTGGGCTCAAATCTTCTCGGAGCATCCTTCTCTTTTTGGGCCTCCTTGAGATGGGCCAAGCCAAGCAGTTCCCCGAGAACTATAGTGGATAGATACAAGGTGAACCCGTTGGCATTAGAGTCACACATCAAAAGCTAGCTATTAAGGCATGAGAACCCTAGGCTATATAAATTCATCACTAACTCTCCTGTTTGACCGGTGTGGGACATTGAATCAGTCCGTAACACAAGGCTAATACAATCCTAAGGTTTGGCCAAGGCACTTACAGGTTTGACTCTGCACCATTTAATGGCTCTTGGGTCTAAGGGTAGTCTTGGAACAAGACAATGAAACAGTAGATAACAAAAGTTAGGGTATGAGGTAAGGTCTGTGTACACACACAAAAATTAGGGTATGGGATAACATATTTTAAATAACACAAAATTGTAATGAATTATTGGACATTTTTTATTCAAAGCACGCTAAACAAAATTTTTAATATAAAAAAACATATTGAATAAATTTAAGGTTTACAAGTATAATCTATTTTTTGGATATGATTCATAGTTATTATTGATTATTTTTAACAAAATCCTATTATTCTTATAATTAATTTTTTTATTTATAAATTTCAACCATTCTACCAAAATGATTGGACAATAGCTTCAAAAAGAGCCTTTTGATGTCTAGTAGCTATTTAAATGCTTATTAGTTTGGAAAAATTCATCCTAATGCTTGGAGAAATTTGAAATTTTACAATAATACTCTAATATCGCATGATTATCATTAGCATTACGAGCAAGTTTTATATTTTTACAGTAATACCCCAAGAGACACTTTAGTTTGAATGAAGATATTTAGGGCGTATAGGTGATAAATATACAATCAGGAGTGTTGTTGTAAAAATATTAAATTCTTAGTAACGTGTGAGATAATTGTGTAATTTTGAAGTAGAATCGTTAAAAGATTGAATATTTAGGAGCGTGTGGAATAATAATGAAACATTAAAATGTTATTGTAAAATATCAAATTTTTGAAGTATTTGCATGAATATTTCCTAGATGTTTTGACTATGTCAAACAACTCTTATGTAAAACAGCTCTTTTGCCCCAAACAGCTCTTTGTAGAGCCAAAAGGCTCTCCAATAAACAGTCCCATAATAGAAAAAGATAATTTTGCACACCCCAAAAAGGAACTATAATTAAATATTTGAGAAATATATAGAAATTTGGGAAATATTTCTCTCATGCAATTGTAACATTTCAGTTGTTCAATTGCTAAACAAACACTCATGTCCCAAATATAGCATTATTTGAAAAACTTATTTCTTTTCCCAAAAAAGAATCTTATTTGAACCAAAGAACTCATTTTCATCATACTTAATGCTTTTATTTTATATAAAAGGTTTCTCAAACAATTATATAGTTCTAGATTTAGTTGAACCAACTTATAAACACAAAAAAATATAGCTATATTTGATTAGTTCTAAATTCTAACAATTATACCTTTCTACTAAATTTAAAAATTTACAAGGTGCAATATATACTATCGTCCGATGAGTTTTTTGACAGAGAATCCTAAAACTGAAGCGTAAAATAATGAAACATTAAAATGTTAGTCGTACAATTTACAAAGAAAACTCACGTGTTATGCCACAATGATGACATGGTCCATGTCTTCCCATGGAATGTGTTGGTGAAGATTTTTCAACTAATGAAGAATTTTTTTAAAAAACTCAAGAACTCATACTTCAATGATGTAATATACTTTTATTTCTATCTGAATTTTTGCCAAGACTAAATGAATTTAGTTTAATAAAAGTTAACAGCTGTTATTGTATTATTCCTATAATAGTTCAAGACACATTTATTTTTGACTATATATCTAATGGAAAGTAAATTAATTTTCTCTGAAGTGTTATATCTGGTCAACAAAAATATTCTAATAATGCAAAAGTGCGACTTGGTTTTCACATATTGTATCTTTTAGATTAGTTTTCTCTCCAATTTTTTGCCTCAATAAGTTTTTTTTGAACTTTCTGAAGCGAGAATTTAAACAGAGTTAAATGAATATTATATTATTCTAATTGAAAATTTCTCATATTGCATATTTAGAGATGATGAAAATTTACATTTGATTTCGTTACATTACTCTTTTATTAGTTTGCATTGTGTCTAATGGGATGGAGATGTATCTTGTGCATTTTGAGTGTGCAATGCTTTGACATCAAAGCTCACATATAAATTCTTATGATTGGACCATGCCACCTTTTATGGAATTTAATTAATTAAATTTCAATGATTAAATATTTGATCATATGGTAGTCTTTCGTACCTTTTGTAGTATTTAATTAATCTCACCCAACTAATTAACAACAAAATTAGTGTTTTGATTTGGGACTTTATTTTGTGGAATTCATTGGTGGTGTTGCTCTTTGTTTGGATTGTGTGTATCTCATTTCAATCCTGCTTTAGTAAAATATTATGAATTTGTTTTTAAATCTTATGAATTTGTTTTTAAACAACTTGCAAAAGGTCTACTATTATTAGAATTGGGTTTAACCTTACTTGTTCTAATGTCATATGTTGGGACTGCATGTAGTGTACTCTAACCCGCACTAGTATATACTTCTTCTGTTTCTTAAAACATTTGCTCTTTTATTTTTTTATTTTTCCCCCAAATACTTTCAATCTCTATTAAAAATCCACTTTTATCCTTACTTCTTCTTATCCTACCTATCATATTATATTTTTTTACTGTTAATCTACCCATCACATTTTACTTTTATCCATCACATTAAAAGCAAAATTGTAAAGTCAACCCCAAATATACACTCTTTATTTTTGCTAAAAGTCAAAATAGGAATCGTTTTAAGAAAGAGAGAATAGAATATTATCCGCTTGGGAAGGGTGTGCATGCATCCCAACATTGTTGTAATAATCAATAGAGTAAATTCCCAAAATAAGTTCTCAATAAATTTTAATTACCTACGTGGTCCTCTATAATTGAGATTTATTCTCAAGATGATCCTTCGTAAATAATGTTACTCAAATGAGGATTAATTGAGGATATTTTGGTATTTTTTATCTGCTAAATTTAGAATTAATTCTTAAAATGATCATTTATAAAGTACTTTCCCAAAATGTTTTTTTCTAATAAAAGATGTGTATTTGATTTGAAATTTAAAATATTTTTTTATAAGTTTTAAATAATTCATGAATTATTTATACTCAATGTATTTTTTTTCAATTTTACATTTAGTTGTACAGAAATAACTATTTTGAGAATATACTTTAAATTTGGATGATCAAAATACCAAAATATCTCCCAATTAATTATCATTTGAGTAACATTTTTTACGAAGGATTATCTTGGAAAGAAATCTCAATTATAGAAGACTATGTATGCAATTAAAATTTATTGAGGACTGAATTGGGAAAGTATTTTATTACAAAGGACCATTTTGGGAATTTACTCTAATCAATAAAACAAATTAGTTACATATTGCAGAGTAGTCCCTATAATAAGAGGCATGGAAGATTACAAGCTAAGCATTCACCAAATATCCAGTCATTAAGAAATCATTAATAAAATCCCATCAAAAAATTGAATTGGTTTGAAGCTTGATGCCAAAGCCCCCACATTCAAAATGCACAAAATACATCTTCATTCATTTAGAGGCAATGTAGAATGAGAAAAGGAAGACATTAGAATGAGATTGAATGTAAATCCCCATTACCTCTAAACTTGCAATGATATATGAATTGCTCTATTGGAATGTAATACTCATTTTAATTGATAAGAAATGAAATCTGTCTTTGTTGCAAGAACTGCATGCAGACAATATGGTTATTCTTTATCGTTGTTGCTAGGAGTCAAACTCAAGTTTACTCCTTTGACACTCACCTTTAAACCACCTGAGTAAAATTTTGCAGGATAAACTTTTAAGATTCTTTGTGTGAATTTGATGGAATCATAGTATTATGTCATGTTTCACAAATCTTGAAATTGGTACCAGATATAGCTATATTTGTGTATTTATTTGGTGGTTTTACGTCCATCTCTTTTCTCAAATACGGAGTGTTTAATAACAATTCTTTTCTGAAAATGCAAAATTATGAAGAGAAATCAAATGAAATTTTTATTTTAGTTATTAAGATGTTTGGCTATTCATTTTATTTGTTTTTTTACAGTCATTTTGTTTCTGTTAGTCTAAGAAATTCTGAATAATAAAATTAACGATCAAATTTGGAAACGAAATTGTTAGAGTGCATCCCACATCGGAAGTCCAAGAGTAAAATAATCTGGTATATAAGCTCTTGAGTTAAACTAACTAATCGATTGGATTCAATCTTTTAATGTGGTTCAACCCAAGTGTCTTATTACCCAATCGAGTTGTCCATACTCATCCCAAATTCTATCATGGTATCGGAGCAGGTTTTGGCCCACCTCGTTTGTCAAGGTGTCCGTTTAGACGTTCATTCCTAGCGGCCCGTTTGTCTTTAGCCCAGTTGTCCGTATGGAGTATGTATCCAACGGCCTGGGGCCCGTTTAACACGATTGCTCGTCTGGAAGTCCATGCCCAGCGGCTCGTGGTCCTTTAGGTGTTGGCGCTCAAAAAAAAATCAAGGGAATGGGAGTTCATTTGCAAGTGGTCAACCGGTTAGATTTAAAATGGCCCGGTTGTCCACTTGAGAGGGAGTGTTAGAGTGCATCCCACATCGGAAGTCCAAGAGTAAAATAATCCGGTATATAAGCTCTTGAGTTAAACTAACTAATCGATTGGATTCAATCTTTTAATGTGGTTCAACCCAAGTGTCTTATTACCCAATCGAGTTGTCCATACTCATCCCAAATTCTATCAGAAATGATCATAAACAAGTCTATTATCTTACATAGTCCTCATTACCCAGGAAAAAATCATCACACATATTTGTAAACTATTCAAATTATTGAGATGAGATCATCACGTACAATATTGATTACAAAAATCCCCATTACATTCATAATGCATAATTAAATTCCAGACATATACAAAAAAATCTACTCTAAGCACATATGGACATGGGGCTCATTTGGTTCATTTTTTCAAACACATTCTGTCAATTCTAATTTTAAAATATGTTGTTGTAGTTGCTTTAGATTTTGAAAAGAAACCTTTTCCATTTCTGATTCCTAGAATTTGATTCTCAAAAAATAATCAACCAAGAGAATCAGTTCATTCATAAATACCTAATTTTGTGAATCAAGATTGACCAAAAGCAGAAATCAAACCAAATGAGCCCATATATGGTTTTAAGGATCAGTGTTGAAATGGCAATGCTTATAGAAGAGGCTAAGTGGTAGAGGATACTCGGCGCAACCTTATACTCTTTCTTCTTCTCGTCGTCTTCTTCTTCTTGATCTTGGATGAAGTGCGCTTCGAAAGAGAACGGAGTTGTGTGACTGGTTGACCATTGTCAACGGGCAGTTCTGATTCTTCAACTTTCGGTGCTGGCATCCTCTTATTGTCCATTAGAATGTCACCATCTCCCTGCATACATATACATGCAATTAACTCTGGTTCAAATCTGATCATGGTGAAACCTTTCAAATTTTGGTACAACACAAGTGATAGAATGCGGCGGAGCAAGTAAACAAATGTGCTACCAACTTCCCGATTTTATCATCTACTCCCTCTGTCCTATAATTATCTTTTGGAACGAGATTGACACGATCTTTAATGAAATAAAACGTGAGTGGTTGTGGTTTGAGTACAGGAAAGATAAATAATATGGACCACACCATCCTTTCCTTACAAAGAAAGTGGAAGAAAATGTTAAAACAACCCAAATAGGAAAGTAGAAACATAATTATGTGACATAGAGAGTAACAGATAAGTAACCTTTATAAAAAGTTGTACAAAAAAGATGAACACATTACATGTCGAATCATAAAAGGGTAAATTAGGAAAGATTAAAAGTTACTCGAGTTGGAAAAACAGGAATGTGAAGGATGAAGTATATACCATACCAATTAAAAAAAATTTTTTTAAATAGAGCATGTGAATAAACTTCAATATTGTCCGAACTGAAAAGATCTTTCCAGTCATTAGAAAGGTAGATCAACTAGCTGATATGCAGTAGAAAGGATATATTTGGAAAATGCAAGAAACATAAATGGCAATTATTGGCAAGCAAAGAAATAAAAAAAGCTTACATTGTGCACGCCACCAAGAAGAGAATTGTTAGCAGTTTCAAATACATCCGCACGAGTTGGGGTGGAACCTTGAGGCACTATGTCTTTTTTGCCCCCACCATTTGGAGAAGGATTTTGAGAAGAGCTGCTCAATGCATTAGATGGTAAACGAAAGCTCAAGTTTTCTGTGCTGGAGAATTTCCATGCATTTTCACTCAATACCTTGTCAACTCTACTTCTAAGCTGGCTAACTTGTGATTCCAAAACACTAATCCGACGGAGTATTTGTTCGGAGGCATTGAGTTCATATCTGGGTAAAAGCCAATGAAGCTCACTCTTAGGCCCAAACCCAAGATTGCCAATATCCTTTCCTGTGAGAAATGTTGCAGAAAAAAGTTTGTATTTTTAGTAAAAATGATAAAAATTACATAGAATTAGCTCCCAAAGAAAGCAAAGGAAAAAAACATAACCAGTGGCGAGATCAAGAGCTTGTTTGGTAAGGGTTATTTGGCTGAAAATCCTGAAATGGATTATGCCACTGACTTTTCTAGATGAAAAAGCATTTGGTAAAATCACTTTCAGGTTTCAGCCAAAATGGTACTAATCTCATAAGCTTCTAACATATAACTAAGTTTTCTGGGACATGGAAACATCAATAAAGGGCAATATTGGCATTCAAAGAGGGCATAAATCTCACTAGGTTTTTACATGATTATCTAAACATGGAATAGGTGAAAGGGAATTTTGATTTATTTGATAATGAACAATAGGGTTAGCTTGTTCTCATTATTTGAACCTTTCAGAATAAACTTACTTTAACCATTAAAAACACCAATCAGTGTAAAATGACGGCCAGAATCCAGAATCCAAGTTTAGATTCTCTAATTATAGAACAAAAAAGTCTCATGTGATGAAGCAAAGAAGCTGGGCAAGAGGTAAGTGTGGATCAGCTGTAGGTTGAAAATTAAGAACAATAGGCATAATCTTTTTGTCCTTTTAAACTTTCAATCAGTGCCTTGTAAAGCTTCATGAAGAATGAAGATACCAAAGAAGATAATGAAAAGTCATTTTTCATATGAAAGAAAACAAAAAATTTACGCAATCAAGAGTTCCAGACAGAATTTCACACCAGTGGGGCCAAAGACATCATCAATAGAAGCACCTTCAATAGATTTTTTATGTTCTGCAACAAACCAATATCATGTCATTACTCGAAATGTAATACAGAAAGCAGGAAGAATGAAAGGAGGATTTATTTTTCACCGTAGTAAGAAAACAATTTGTGACGGGACATATATCCATTTATGTCCTCAGTATCTTCAACTCTTCGTCTTTTCTTTCTCTGTAGAATCTTACTTCTGAGCCTGTTGTTCGGAAATGGAAACGACCTTGCACATAAACCTTCTGTCGTGACATTCTCCAACTTAAAATTGTTACTATGGTTGAAGCATGAAAGTTCTTTGTCATATTTTCGTGCTAGGCATTGGAGCTGCATGACTTGCAATTCAACCCACTTAATACGCCATGATAGGGGTTGTACAAATGTTCTCCAGTGAGAGGTTACTTTTTTCTTCCTGCAAAGGTCAAATGTAACTATGTCAGGTTGTTAGCAGCCATCCAAATTGAAACACTAAGGCTCTATTCCACGGGCAGGATTTTGAAGGAGTTTGAGGGCAGGTTTTTGCAGAGCTTAGCCTATATAGTATATACACATAAAAGATTTCATTTACAAAATACTCTGTAAAAGATTAACATAGTATGTTATCATATAGCATTTGTACCACCTTTTAGTTTGTTTTTAGAAGCATTCAATTTATAAAGATGTAGACTGTGCCCTCCAATTCAAATGCCTCCAATTCTCCAAACATACCCTAAAATCCCTAAATGTGAGAGAGAGAGAGAGAGACAATCAGATTAAGTATGAGAACAGGCACCCGAGAAAGTATGAATCCTTCATTGCCTCATTTAAGCAGAAGCTGTAGGGGAAAGTATTGTTTTAACAGTTAAAGACACGAGGCAGAAAATTGTGCTCTTTTTGGATAGGTGTAAAATGAACGGGGAGGAAATCAGGTGCTCATCTTTAGTTTCTCACTTTCTCTTGTTGTATGAAAAATAAAAATAAAGAAGATAAAGATTATGACTCTTTTTCAAAGAAATGAGAATAACACAATCCCTTTTCAATCAAATATTTCTAATGATTTTTTGTTCCCAAAATGGGAAAAAATGAAATTAAAACTACACTTCAACGCCTAAGATTACAACATGGAATCATTCTGTTCCCCTAATTTTCAATTCAGCACCTCCATGGCTCCATCCACACCCCTCTCTATCTCTCCACCTTGTCTTCTCATCAGAAGACATTTTACTTCATTTTCCCAGTCCATCTATTTTCTAACTACTTTATCTACCCTGTGCTGTATACTAGTAAACACAGCAATAAGATTACACAAAAAGAAATGCTTTGTGTACAACATGGTCCATAACTCTATGTGAATGTCAATGAAGCAAGAACCTGATCTTTACAAATCAAAATGGCCTAACAAAGAACAAGCTTCTCTCTGAGGAGAATACAAACAAAAACACTCAATTCTATTGGGTTATGGTGATTCAAAGGTCACAATTACCAAAATCATTTCTAAAATATAATGGTTCATAAAAATTGAATTTTAGGTTGAATTGAGCTTCAACCTATGCATAGTATAAACTCTAATGCAGCATATAAAATGGTCACAGTTTCAAGGATATAAATTCAGGGAGAAAGAAAGCACCTCTTCCTGAATTCATCTCCCAACTCTGAAGATACATCACGCCCATTAGAGCACGAGATAACTTCAGCATCATCATTTCCTGCCCAAGAGGCGGAACTGTCGAACGAGCTCGAACTCTCAGTCATGTATCCACACTCTGATTCAACCAGCTCCTTGAAGCCTGAATCTGTGACTTTAAGTATATCAACTTCCAAAGGCTCTATCTTTTGGACTTCTCTTGCTTTTCCATCAACGCAAGAATGATCGTCGCGGTTCATTTGACACTGAATTTCATTAACATCTAGTTCTTCACATGCAAATCCAGTCTCATTCGAGGCAGAAGCCTCGGAAGAAGCTTCTGGCCCTCCATTGAACCCTAACTCGGGACTCATGTTCAAAATCGACTCATTTTCGGATCAAATCTAAAACTTACTGGAGAAAGAAGAAATCAAAAACTGACAAAGATCAAAGCAAATAAAACACACTCTATTACGGATAGAAAGGAAAGGTGAAAATTAAGTTGAAGGCAACAATTTGATGAGCGAATGACTCTTTTTTTCAAGAACAAAAAAAAATACGCATTGCGATTTCCGGAGAGGCCGCGAGACAAATCAAATCCCGAAAACGGATTGAGTAGCCAAAGAGGAAATCACAGAAAAGATAGTAGGAGTACTTTTTTTTAACTAAAAAAAATGTTTGTGTTTGAAAAAAAATTAACATACATTTCATTTGTCAAATTAAATATTTTTGTTTTTTGTCTATAAAATTTTTTTTTCAATATGTTGGGACCAAAAGAATACTGAGTAACGTATTATTTTATACTCCGTATTTAGTTAATTTTATACTCCGTATTATTAATATTTTTTGGACTAATGCGCAAAAGATTTTTTTCATGACTTAATTTTCCATATTCTATAAAAATATTTTTTTTCATATACTTTCTTTTTATTTATTCTCTTTTCTATTTTTTCTTTTCTTTTAATTTTGATTTAAAATAAAAGAAATGATATAAAATTAATGAACAAAAAATGAGAAATGAGCTTTAGCAAAAAAAAATATTTCATTGATTTTCGTATAATGAAAATGAGCCAATAAAGACATCTTTTAGACAAAAAACAAAAATGTTTAATTTGAGACAAATGAAGTGTACGTTAACTCTTGTTATTTAATTGATTTTGTTTGCAAACACTAACAAATTTGATTATTAAAACACTATAAAATAAAATATTTTAAAAAAGAAATTAAAAACCTTTATGAAAAAAGTAGTAGAAAAAGAAAAAAATAATGAAAAGAGTGGGCGTCTGTGCCAATTTCCAAAATCATAGGGGCAATGGAGTTATTCACATAATATTTGAAGGATATTTTAGTCTATAAGGGCATTGGCGTAGCAATTCAGAACCATGAGAGGTAACGACATAAGTTTTGAAACCATAAGAAGTAATGATGCACATTTGTGCAATAAATTCCTTCTTTATCCAACTCCAATGCACCTCAATGATATTATGTGCAAGACGTTTTGTTACAAAAAATTGTTGTTGAGTACCTAATGTTTTGTGCTAAGAACTTCATGGTCATTCGATTTTCAAAATATACTCTCGAGTATCATAAAACTTGTGTTAACTCATCTGTGAGGAATTTTCCATCCATTTATCTGTCAACTCATCACTCTGTCATTATCATCATCTCATCATCATCCTCATCTGTTCTCAAAATTGTTCTTGGGCAAATTGGCTCAATATTGAATGCAAAATTGGTGCATCTTGTTTTGGAAATATAAAGGTTGCTTAGGATATGATTTACTCCCGCTATTTTTATTTTGATCCAGTGTTTTGCATATGTCCTATAGTTAATGATGCAAGCTGTTTACTTTTTTGTTGTATTCATTTTTTTGAACTCTTCTATTTTGAATAATTTTGTTTTGGCTTTGTGCCAATCAGTACGTTTTTTTTCAAATTACCTCTTTATCACTTCGTATCATGTTATACACACAACATTATTAATTTGGCCCGCCTCTTAAATTTCGACTAAATGCGAAATGGCCGTCTAAATAAGACAGTGCTCGAGAATCCGTTTCGGCGACAGGATTTATGTTTTAAGGTTATATTTTATTGAAATCATTCAAAATATCAAAAGCTTACTTTTGCTTGAAAGAAGAAGATTATGATGATGATGACGACGATAATGATGAAGAAGATGATGGAGTGATGGGTTGGCGGACAAATGGATGGAAAGTCCCTCAGTGAGTTAACACATATTTTAGGGTATCTGAGAGTATATTTTGAATATAAAAAGAACCTGAGAATTCTTATCACAAAACATGGAGTACCCAACAACAATTCTCTCTGTCTCAAGCGGTCTTTACCTTGAATCAAATTCACACCTTCTATAAAAATCAAACCGGATTAACAACTTACGAGGGTGTTTCTTCCATGCCCGACCTTTCAGAACTGCCTAAAGTAGAGTTTATTTTTATTCACATGTTTAAATTTGGATCACAAAAATTAATAATTTTTATTCATATTTCAAAAAAATTCCGTATTTAACACGAAGCACTTTAAGATTTACGGAGTACGTGATTTTATATTAATATTTCAAAATTTTAATAAATGATTTCATTATTCCCAGAAATTTCACATTTTATAACATTATTTCGTCTATGTCAGCTCCACTTATTACAAAAAACATGATATTTTAAATACTAACTGGATAATTAATAAGCATAAGTTGACGATACACAATTTTTTAAATACTAACTGGATACTCCGTAATTAAAAAATATAAATTGTCAATTGATAAAAAAAAATCTAGAACACGATATAACTACATCCCCTCTTGTTTAAAACTGGAAATATGAAGAAAAATTGAAATGCATTTATATTTTAATGTGATAAATTGTGAGTTGTGTTTTAGAAAAAAAATTGTCAAATACGGAGTATACAAGAAGCCAATGTCATAAATAATTTGACAATGATAGCCAATGTCAAACATAATGCACTCCGTAAATGGAAAGAGCAAGAGCATTTACAAATAGAAACTATACCAAGCGAAACATAACCCAACAAGATATAAGATACTAGTAAAAAAAAGAGTAAATTCCATGATTGGCCTTTTATAACAGAAGATTTTCTCTATTTAATCATCTATTATCAAATATTACTCATGTAGTCATTCTTTTATAGGTATTTTTCCACAAATAGTCTTTTTTTGATCTTCTATCACATTCGTGTTCATTTAAAGGCTAAAATTATAACTTGACACTAATCTTATGTCCAGTAACGTACTCTAATGTCCGTTAGACTGACAACTCAACAAGAATGACTATTTATGGAAATGTGCCCATAAAAGGACCCGGAGTAATATTTGATAATAAAAGACTAAATAGAAAAAATCATGTCATAAAAAACCAATTATGAAATTTACTCTACAAAAAATGACATTAAAAAGCTAGACATGAGATACCATTGAGGACTTGTGTCCTCCAAACAACTACATACATAGAACCCAAAACAACACATACATTTGCAAAATGCAAAGGTTTTGAACTCTTTTTTCTAACAAACCCAATTACTATGTTGGCTTTATATGAGAGAAGACACGACGAACGCTCCTTGCTCGGCAAAGGGAGTCGTGCGTCCGTCATCCTCATCATCCACATCAGCACAACAATTACTACTACCATTATTATTATTGTTATTATTATTATTATAATCCATCAAACTGTCACTATTCATCACAGTGTCAACACCTGAGATGGCATTATTTTCTGTGTCGCCGCCTCCTCCTCCTAATAGGATATCTAAAGGTAATGTTGTCGTACCTGAATCTTCTTCTTCATGTGATCTAAAACTCACATCCAGTATAGGAATACCATAATCCATACAAGGCACCGAGTGGCGGCTATCTCCCAGCAGGATATCATCTCCTATACCACAGCTTCTTTCTGCAGGCTCGGGTTTAGTCTCTGTTTGGCTTTCCCCCAATATGTGACTTGAACATTTTTCCTCGTTCACCACATGATGTTTGTTAATGTCATTCACTGAGGGTGTTTGGTCGCTCCCTTGTTCACGAAGCATGTCTTTCAGTTCCTCCAAAGTGAACTTGTGAGATGTAATTGTGAGGCCTGAATCCTCTGCGGCACCATCTCCACCATTCTCCACAGTCTGGGGTTTAATCCCCGATTGGCTTCCTTCCGATATACAGTTCAGAGGTTCCAGATTACCCACTCCGGGACTATTGTCTTTAGAATCAATTAAATCCTCCAATGTGAATTCGGGAGCTGTAATTGTGATGTTTTGGTTACATTTTGAAGGTTGATCCACAAAGGCTTCATCTTTAATACACTCATTTATCGAAACTGGACCGTTTGGAGAACATTCTAAGTGCCCGCTGGCTTCTACATGGGATTCTGATGAAGAAACTACTGTTTGTTTATTAGATTCTGAAAGAGAAACAGCAGATGTTGATAAGAGCCCGGAAAGTGCTGCAGCCAGAGCATCATCAATCGATATGGTTTTTCTATTTCCTTCTTCAGGAGAATTCTTCGATGGTAGTTTTGCAGCTCCAGACATGCTAAGAAAAAAAATAGGAACAAAAACATTAAAGGAAAATAGGTGAGAAAATGTGGGAAGGAATAAAAGATAAGCTAAAAAATCTATTAATATCTTTTAGACACGGAGTATTTGTTTTGATATCCATTTCACTTACCCCGGAGAATTTGTATACAGAATTTCGTAAACAAAAACTAACCAAATTTTACTTTTCTTGGAATTTCGTAGGTAAAACCAACCATAAGAAAATAACATTCCCTCGGAGTTTTAGTCAGCAAAGCCTTTATAAAATACTTTTGTATAAAAAAAGGTTAGCATTTCCTTCAATCAAGACATACCCCAAATGCTCCAACTCACGGCTTTGTTCTTCTTCCTCTCCACAAGGGAACTCAGGAGCAGCAATCACAAGACTCGGATGCACACGTGGAGAACTTGCAGAAATTGACGAACTGTCAGTAGAGCTTGACAACTTATCCTCATCAGGACAATCCATTTTGAGCTCTGATGCCAAATTAGGAGGCTGGTTGTTTCCGTCATTGTAAAAAGAGCCAAAATTGGAATCGGTGCATGAAAATGAAGGAGCCGTGAATCTTTTGCAAGAAGGAAGTACGGCATATTGAGAGTTCTTTGCAAGAATATCTATCTGCTCCTCTACTCTCTGAAGTCTCACTTCCATGCTGCTTATTGGTTTAAGCATCGATTCTTCAAACCTTAGACAGATTTCTTCAATCCGGTTCACCCTGTCTACAAGTTGTCCTAAAACATTCCCAATCTCTGCTGGTGCATTGTTTTTATCACCAGTGGTCAATTGTTTTGGAGGTTGAGTTTCATGCCCATTGGCTACCATTGAGCTCTGTTCACAGTTAATTCCATTCATGCTACCATCATGCATATCAGTTCTCCGTACAGTAGGTTCATCATCACCCTTTTTCTGTCTATTATCAGATGAATGAGTGTCAGCTGTTTGCCTGATGGTTGATTTAGATAATTGCAGAAA